TCCATGCAACAATCGTCGCACGTCGGCAAACTGCAGGGTAGCGGCTCAGTAGCAGAGTGCGGGTATTATGGTTCGTCGAGCTCGGTGTCGTGTTTGATAATGTTTGACCCCACACACTTCGACGGTCCCTATACCTTTTGCTTTCACCAGCCGCAGCCCGGAGGAAATGCGAGGCTCCTGACTGCACCATCCAGCCCAGCTACGGTGACCCCGGTAAGTTGGTGCATCGTTTCCGGCGACCTTAAGGGCATTTTCGAAGTGCCCCCAACAACTATTGCGCCAAAACATTGATAACCGGAAGGTCGTATTGAAGCAAAATGGTGGAATGGAAAGGCTAAAACGCAATGACTGTACGGAAGATTAGCGACTGCAGGCAGATGGTGCATCCTTCAAGGCTTTTTCGAATGTATTTCTTTGTGGGGACTGTCCCTGTGAAGCATTTGTCGGGGAGAGAGGGGAAAAACTCATCATGACAATTAACCACACTGCCCGGCGACGTCGCGATTTATCCTTGTCATTGCCTCCGCCCCCCGTAATGGCATACGTACGCAGGCACTAGCCGACCACGTTTCTGTTCTAGTCACAAGGAGAAACAGATGGTCAGCCTCAAGAATCGCCCTTGCCTGTTCCCTGGGTGAGTGCCTCTGCATTCGTGTCACTTTGAGGGGTCGGGACCCCGTGTCTTGCACGGGAATTTCAAGCTCGGGGTGGGGTATAGCCTACGGCAGTAGTGCTCACAAAGTTTTCGAGCGTTCTGAAAAAGAGGCAGACCAGGTGCGATGCTCGGAGGATTGCGTCCACAAACAAAGAACCGTTTTTTCGCTGATCGGACGATCAGGCAGACATAGAGTGCAGGCGATGTAGTATGAGTGTTGCGCATGGTAGTCACATCCAGTGCCCAGGGAGGCTTGTCATGGCCAAACTTCGTCAACCAATCGGCCGCTACAACGCTGGAATCAATCGGTCGACTGCAGGTGTGACATCAGGCCCCACTACGGGCTTTCAATGGGGCGCGCCGTATATTGCGTCAGTCACAAGAAGGATGGGATGGTGCATCTACTGAAAGAGGCCAAAAACCTGGAGAAAGAAGAACTGAAAAGGTGGGCTAGGGCACACACTTCTCCGGGACGTCAACACACACTACCTTGCTTGACTTCGTTTGTTTCTCTACTGGACGGAGTCTTGTGTGTCTCGACCAATCACGACGATTGAGTGCCGTCCCGATTTGTTTCACGCGATACACAAGCTGCTGGAGGATAACGCCGTGTAGCAGCGTTCACGATTGCCTAGCCTTCGCTGCAATGCTGAGCTTCCAACGGGATACCCAAATGCCGTTTTTTCTAGCTTATGGCATGACCCGCTGGCTCCCTTGAATGTTCAACAGAAAACGTCGTAAGTGCGGCGAAGTCGAAAAGGATCAGGGAGATAGAGACTCTGGGCACGATGGCGAGGAGCAGGCCGGATCGGCGGAAGGCAGTCTGCAGCAGCGGAAGAAGAAGAAGAAGGCGAAAAGGGAAGGGACAAAGCGTCCTTCCGGTAGTCATGGAAAACCCACGAACAAGAAGAAGAGCACGAACACAGCAGCGTCTCCATCTCATCTGCGTACCGCAGGACAGTCGGCATTGGCCCCATCCGACGACATGAGGCTCCTGCAAAATGCCAGACAGTCAGCCCACGAAGAAGCAAGTGGCTCCGGTCGTAGAGCGCGCGTCCCGTCCCGCAAGGTCCTAGAGGCTTCAGGGAAGATGGCCGACGAGACCGCGCAGTGGATGACCAAAGAGAAGAAGGAGGAGCAGGCCAGGATCAACAAGAGGTTCCGGGCACAGCGGAAGGCGGCGGCGGCAGCGGGGCTGAAGATCGGGGAAGTCATCGAAGCCACCGCATCTCCTGCAGCCCGAGCTGAGAGCGAGGAGGAGGGCCTCGGAAGCGGCGGAACTTCGATTCGCGGTGGAGGATTGCGGGTGTCGAAAGCCTCCTGGCGCAAGCTCACTCCGACCGAAATCTTGCCGGCAGCCGGTAAGAAACCGTCCGCGGAAGGCGCTGCATCCGAAGTTCGCGGCAACGATGCCGCCATGGCCGAAACAACGGATGAACAGGTTGTCGGCAGGCAGCCGGAAACGGCACCAGTCGCTTCAGATGGCGGAGATCGGTCGGAGAGGAAGCCAGCAGAAACAATGGCCTCCGGCGCTGAGATGAGTTCACAGGAAGACTCAACTACCACGAACGCATTCAACGAGGGCAGTCTCAAACGCCGCAAGAAGAACCAGGTCGAACACAGCAGTGCGTCCAGCGAGAGCGAGAAGGGAAGATACCGGGTGCAGCAGGCCGGGCGACAAACGAGCGCTGTCAAGGTCGTATGCGAGCTCGACAGCTGCTCGAGGACGGCCAAGTTTGGTGTCCACGGCATCGTGCGCTACTGGTGAGCAGTGGTCTGTACCGTATGTGCAGGGCTGGGGTCCGATAACCGGTGTGGGTCTAAGGACTGAGGCGTAGCACGGTCTAGTGCAACGAGTGATTTCGAAGAACCGGGAAACACGGGCAATTCCTGCCACTTTCAGCACTAGTCCTATCATGCGTTATGCTTTCATGGTCACCCACGAACTCAACTACACAGGGTAGAATAAGTTAGCGTACGCTAGGTCGCTCGTCGGAACCAAGTTCCATTGGACGTGTTCTGAACCCATCGGAAAAAGTGCGAATAATGTTTCAGTTGCAAAATGATGTTTCTTCAAATGGTCCAGTACCACGTACAACTGACAGAAAGGAAATTGCGCGTGGGGGGTGTCAACAGTTTCATGCAGCACGTCGACATATCAATTACTCTATGCAACAGTGGTACTCCTCGCAAAAGGAGCGGCAAGCAAGGACCCGTCTCGTCTCGTCTCGTCTCGCCTCGGTCGTTGCAAGCCTGCTGCTCGACCATCCCGGTTCCAACCGATATTTCGCCCGCCGTGTCTCTTTCTCCTGACCAACGCATAGCTCCAGGCACCGTATTTTCGGGATGCACAAGATCGTCGGGGTGAAAAAAAGCCCGCGGGTTTCGGGTGAGGCCGCTCTACAATAGCCGAGAACGGCCTGGAGTGTCTGGATGTTGAGGTGGGGCCTGAAAGGTCCAAGCGTCACCCTCCAGGATGGGAAAAAAGCATCAGTAGGAAAGAGTGGCTTCAGCTTGTATAACACCCGGGTGCTGTAAACATATGTGGTCTAGATGTACATATGTACATGATCTTTTGTCTGAGAATAGAAACGGGGTGCGCCTTATCAGTACCAACCAGTACTGATTTTTACAGACGGTGGGGCAATGTGCTGACTGGCTCACATTGCGATATGAATCGCATCCCTGTGGATCGTGTCAAAACGTGAGCCAGGATTGCCTCGTGGTGTATATTGATGTAGACCTTGTATCGTCTTTTGTTTTGGGTGTCTTCAGTCTTCGTATTTTGGTGTGTGCGACCTGATATGGTTGGGGCATTGGTTCTCTTTTATTCTGCGGGTGGGTATATAGCTCTAGTAGGTCAGGTGTGCCGGTTTCCCTTTTCAGGCTGCACAAGGTCTTATACACCGCAGACTTGCCAGCTTCTTCGGAATTGAGTATGTGATTTGTATGAAGTATTAGAGTGTGGATCGTGCGGATCCTACCCACGCAAAAAACTACTTCTACTTTTAGATGTTTCGTAGCTCGGTTTCGCTACGGTCCGGGCACGGCTGAGACAACAGTTCATGCAAGTATGCAAAAGCCCGTCGAAGGCCTATCGCCACCCTTGATGGCGGGTTGGTGTCTCTCTTCCTTCGTCATAAAATTGGGCCCGGCAGTCATGGTCAATCTCAGGGGCTCCACTCTGCCAGCGGTACTGCCCATAATCGCTGCAATCAGAGTAGCTCCGGGGTTTGGCTTAGACTAGGCGTCATACGCCGTCTGATTGTAAACCGGCGGAAATCAGGGGGAAACATGCTGCTGACCCAGAATAGTTATCGGCAACGTTTAGCTTCTTCGTATTGTCGCCGCAACAGATAGTGCAGAAAGCTTCAGAACACATAGTAGAACTCGAGCCGATATAGGGGGCTGAAAACATCCTCGGTTGAGCTCGCAAGTACTTGATCGCCCCATCATCTCCTCGGCCTTGGTCAAGTCTTGCTGCGAGCGATCGTCGCGGGAAGCTCTATGCCACGAAGTCCAGACCTACGCTCTTGGTTCCGTTCAGGTGTCCAGCCGGAGGCTTGGACTATTGTTGCGTATCGCTACACAACAGTCCTAGGGTATCCCTCTTTTCCTTTCCTGTACCTTTTAGACCACGTCTTCAAGCCCGCCTGTCTCGCGGTCCCTGCTATACACGCAACATCCTTCGACAACTGCCCACGACGGACCCCAACATCCCCTTCTGTGATGGAAAATGAAGGACCGAGTGCTACTCATTTCATACATCAACGCCACGACCTACGGCCTTTAGAACAGACCCTACACTCAAATGAAACCTATGGAGAGTAAAAACGGGCCCACTCTACTGTGATCAGCGTAGATCCATTTTGAATAATTTCTACCCCGAGCAAAGTTTCTTGCTCTACCTTGGTGAAGTACCCCCAGGCATCTACTTAAGAAACCTTCACGACGTGGTTCCTTCCTCACGCTGGGCGAATGTTGTTTTTTGATATCAACTGCACGGCTGGTGCGATCCAGCTGGTTTGGCCGCATCTCTTACGGTCCCGACTTGTCGCCCAGTCTTGACCACTATCCAGTCACCTAAAAGTCAGGGGACCTTCACCAAATCACAGCAGCCTTACGGCGGCAAGCACTTCGTGTATTTCGCTTATCTCGACGGCCGGTACGAGGGGGCACGCCGAGTTGAATGAGAGAGGTCGTCGAGGGAAGGGGGGGGGGACCTGCTGCAACGCACGGGTCGTTTGGCTCTATCTGCAGAGACTCGGCATCTGTATGTATCGTCATCGATTGGAGCGGATGAAAATAGACTACCCGTATTTCACCAAAATGGTGGAATCAATTTCCGTGCGTCCCGCAACGATCTATGGTCACTGCGCTGCGAACATGCCTCTACCCCCCGGCTACACTCGCTGCCAATTGTGCCCTCGAGACCGAACTTTTCCATCTTGGATAAGGTCTCAGTCTTTGCTGCCGGCGGCCCCACGCCACCTACCACCTCCCGGTGCCTTACCCTTGGGGTTCCTACCCCGCTTGGACTCGCTGGCGACTTCGGATGCACTCGAGCACCGCCTTTTCGCCAAGTGCCTGCCGGTCCCTGCCTCAGTGGCGGGACCTTCTCTCTGCTTCTCCGTGGTGGCGCGTTTGGTGTCGGTGCTCCCAGGTAGACTTCTTCGAGCCTTTCCCACGCCGGCTATCTTACCAGCTGCTTGCAGTATTTCGGCGGGGGTAAGCTTCCTCCAAGAGCCGTTCGACGTGGCATTTTCACCACGGCTGCCGTCTCCTCCGGCGCCAGCAGCGGTCGCGGCTTCGATGACCTCTCCGGGCTTGAGCCCTGCCGCCGCCGCCGCCTTCCGCTGCTCCTTCAGTGTCAAGCTTAGCCTGGCCTGTTCCTCCTTTTTCTCCCTGGTCATCCACTGGGCGCTCTCTCCTACCATCTTACCCGACGCCTCGAGGAACTTGCGGGACGGAGCTCGCGCCCTACGGCCATAGCCGCTCGCTTCTGCCGCCGCCCGTGCGGAGTCCTTGGCCTCCTGCAGCAGCCTCATCTCGTCGGAAGAGGTGAGTCCAGGAGCTTCTGCCATCCGCGACAGGGGAGGGGTTTGTCGCCCTGAAGATGACCGAGGGGGAGAGGACAGGGTCGATGACGATGGCAGCCCGGTGGCCGTTGCGGCGCGTTTTGACTCCTTTGCCTTCCGAGCAGTGCTCTTTCCCTCTGCCGAAAGCTCACCCTTGTTGCTGTTATCCTCCTCGCGTTTTGCGCCACGACCCTCCTCCGCCCCGGCCGGTTTCTCTTCTGGCGCCGCGGCTTGTTCACTTTCGTTCTTAGGTTCCACACGAGCGGTCTTCGCAGCAATATGAGGGTGAGACTTTCGGCTTGTCCTGGAAAAAACACGGGGAGAACGTTCCATCAGTCGTGGCCAACCTGATCTAGGCAAACTAATAAAACTTAACCCAGCAGCTGCGATAATCGAAAGGAAAAGCGACGTCGTTCTACATGGAACTGCTCGTACACTACACTGTGTACGTAAATAAAAAGAAACCTCTTTGGTCAAAATGCGTGCGCATGCTCTCCATACGACGATGGCAGGCACGCGTCAGTCTTCGAGAGTTTAAGCGAAGAACCATCCACAGCATGAAATGGAACCCCTACTTGCCTTCCGAGGGCCTCATCCTCCGGGGGCTTTGAGGCCTTCGGCAGGCGTACCATCCCATCCTTCTTGTGGGACGAGCAAAACACCGGGTTTCCCCTCGATAAGCCGTAGTAGGGCCTGGTGTTGCATCTGTAGTACATCAGTCAGCCCGGCATTGCCAGAGATAAAAGTTGCTGTTGTCTACGGTATATCGTACTGCTTAGTCACACGGGGCACGACTGCTGAAGGGCACTATGTCAAGGCTATTTCTGTCAGTGGTAGGCATGAAAGAGCTTTACAGGCGTGCCACACGCTATTTTCTCCGCCAACCAACTCGAATGCATCTCCAGTGCTATGGGCCAAACCCCACGCCAAAGAGAGGCGCTAGGCCAGCCATCGAGACACGTAGCGGTCAACATCGTGACGTCATACCGCAGACGCACGTCCAAACGACGTCCGTAAACTGGGGTCCCCAGTGTATACACTCCGCAGTACGGACCAGCTATGAAAAAACGCAGCGTGTGTGGGATCTCTCAAAGTAAAGATAACGCATTGTTACATCTAGACCACCTCCCGTTTCCCTGTGCGACTAGCGCTTCTTTTCGAGGTCTCCCGAGCCTCTGATCCCTTCTGTACCGAGCACACCAAAGAGACTACCAATACGTATCTGAACAACCAAGCGCGTTCGAGTGCCGTCATCCTCAACGCTGCAGCTGCCTCTTACAACAGCCTTGCCATGCAGGAGCAAAACCCAGTATGCAGCAGTGCTTCAACGAGGGAGCACGGGGTTTTATTTGAAACACGTATGTAGTACCGGCGTCTCAGCGTACTACCACGCCCTTTTATCTAAGCCTGGGTTTATTGTGTGTTTTCTTACGAATGGACCGGCACTGCGTAATACCACTGCAGACTTCAAACATGTTCAAGAAGAAAGCAAGACCTCCAGACAGAGCAACAACGGCCTCTAACGGCGAAACGTACCCCGGGAACAGGCACGCGCCGTTCTTCAGGCTCACCACCCCTTTCTCCTCGCGATCGGAGCGGCCCTGCTGTGGTTTATGAGAGCCTGACAAGCGAGGACGCGCGGTGAGGCAGAAGTTCGATCGGTTGAGAGGAGGGGGAAAGGAAACCGCCATTATGCCTTGGGTAAGGGGCGAGACGCGTTCCAAATAAAATAGAGGTATGAGTGGAGAGCCAGGGACACCTGAAGCGCCCATACCCTCAAAAGAGGTCTACACTTCGAAGTTCTTGATTTCAAACCTCCGCCTTATTAACAGCTTAAGAGTGGATTTCCAGGTTGGATTGCGCTGACCATTTGAGCACGTGAAAACGACGGTCGTGAAAACGCCTAGAGAGTTGGTCCCCAAACACCACCCCTGTGCAGCTTTCGGAGTTTCGGAAACATTGATCGAAGTTTTTTAGTTCGTCGTCAAGAACGGGGTGTATGTAGAAAAAAACAAGCGATTTGCCGTCGAACGGGTCCGAAGAACACAAAATCTCCTGCGACTCGTTTCTCGTTCAACAACCTAGTAGGTGTAGCCGGCACACGTGCAGCTCATCGTTACATGCCGGCACGCTGTACACAAAGTCGGCCACGGCAGCATAACGCCAACAATGATTGGTATCTGCCCCCAACCAAAGCTCTAGCAATAGCTCGGGGAGACTTTACCGGGGCCGCCATCCCCGGAGACTACAACACGTCACTTTAAGTGTTGCTCGAAAAAGTTATATTACCGGGTGCAGGAGGCATGGCGGTGGCCTCCTGGGGAAGGGCGGGATCGGTGGCGGCAGCAGCAGCGGTGGGAGCTGTCTCATCGCGGTTTTGAACAGGTCGAGATGCAGGTTCAGACACTGAACCGATGAGAGCGCACG